AAAAGAGTGACTTCCAATTGGACTTCGAGAGTCCATAACTTTACCAAATTTAATCCGATTCCAAAGTGGCATACCTCTAAAGACTCGTGATTTAATTCTCTAAAAAACTGCATTCAACATTTTCAATTTAAAGTTGATAAAATTTTTGACCCATTTTCATGTTAGTTAATTCCAATTTTCCGATGTCTTGGAAAAGAGTGACTTCCAATTGGACTTCGAGAGTGCATAACTTTACCAAATTTAATCCGATTCCAAAGTGGCATACCTCTAAAGACTCGTGATTCAATTCTCTAAAAAACTGCATTCAAAATTTTCAATTTAAAGTTGATCAAATTTTTGACCCATTTTCATGTTAGTTAATTCCAATTTTCCGATGTCTTGGAAAAGAGTGACTTTCAATTGGATTTCGAGAGTCCATAACTTTAACTTTAACTTTAGGATACCTAAGACTTCTAAGACTTGTGATTTGATTTTCTGATAATTTGCATTCAAATTTGTCAATTAAACATGTTAATAAAAAGCTTAAAATTTCAAATATATGCCAATTAGACCTATTGATATCAATAGCTTCTGTAATGTTGAAAAGTGTTCTTATTTTATATGATACAAATACGCAATATTAACCCAACTCAAAGGAAAAGCTTTAATACAAATATTCTCAACTGGATTCCCGTTAACCAAGGATATTTGATCGCCTTTCCTTTGCGCCAGACCACACATTGTTGTGTGTGACTTGAGGCTGACTTGTTGTGGAGTGTGGGTGGCACAGACATTTCCGCTATGTATTTCGACTTGAGGCATTTGCAAGATGATGGATAATGGCATTCAATTTGCGAAATTGCTTGGCTCGAGTTCGATTCCTTGTGCGTCCTTGTCGAGTGTCTGGCTTAAATAGTTACGTTAATTAATTTACAACGCATTGTCAGTCCGTTGTCGTGTGCATTATAAATGATTTGTATGCCTTGGCTGTCGTTTGCCCTCCCCTTGCGTGTTCATTAGCCCTCAGAAGGCCGGGGGGCACGCGTTTATGGGTCAACTGCTGTGACCTCGTTTGTGGGTTAGCCCTAAACCTTACCCGCCTGCATTTCGATTTCGTATTGGGGGAGAGTGGAACGACGGGCGACGGCTCTTCAAACTATTTGCAGTGCTTTGCTAATTTTCATTGCCCCACTTGAGTGAATGGCATGCCCACAAAAGCCCTTTAAATATTCATGGGCCAGAGTTGAAGTCGAGTTAAATGACACAAACCCACTCGCAGCGCTCGCAGGCAACGCTCTCTTATCAATTATCAATTAACCTAAATTTTAGCCTCTGCGATTTTGGCACGGCCAATGACAGTCGGTCCCCAACTCATTCCCTCCCAGAATCCCAGGATGCCAGGATGTCATCCAAAGTCGTCGTGTGTGCCAGCTGAGGCTGGAGCGAAATCAGATGCGCAACGAAGATGGAACGTTTTCCAAACGGATGTCGACAGCCGCCTTCGCAGGTGACTGGGTGGATAACTTTCTGATTAGTGTGAGAGCACTTTCCAGCTGTTGAGGTGGCTTTGGCCAAAAGTTGGGGAGGTTGCCAAAAGGGATTGAATAAGATCATGTCAATGCCACGGAAATCCCTTGTGATTTTAAATCACTGAAAATATTAAATTATTTCATTAATTTCATTGGTTGGATTTGATTCCCTATTTAAAATAATTCATGTTATTAGAAGAAGAAAATCAATTATGATTTAACTTAAAATACTGGCTGACTTTTGATAATTATGTTCTTATATTTTTTACATAATAGCTAAGAGAACCTTTTTTCTTTTTAATTTAATTAAAAAACTTAGGAATTCCTTTTTTTGTTGCTTTTAAAATTTAATTACTTACCAAATACAAATTTATTTTGTTTTAATATTTATTTAAAGTAATTCCTATGAAATTTCGAAAACTAAAAACTGTTCGTTATAACTAATTAATTTGTAAGCTGATAAAATTTTGAAGAGCAACCTACTAGATTTTCTAGTTTTAACGATAGTTTGTTGTTTGTTGCCACATTTTCACTTTAAAAGTTTTTCCCATAACATTGCTTCGTGTTAGTGCTCAAATGGAAAACGAAAACAACCTTCTGCTCGGTGCAGCACTATTATTTTGACCGCATTTATATGCGGGCGGGGGAAAATTTCCAGAACTCTTGGCTCTGACGACCCTTGACAATAATCATTTTCATTACTGTAAAATGTCAACAGTGTCAGCAAGTCCCCTCGAGCATCCTTCGCTCCGCTCTTCACTCCACTCGGGGCAGGACATGTAGTTGAAATTTGATGATGCAGCAGCGCTCGAGCAGCAGGAGCAGAAAAACAGCAGCTGTGACGAGCAAAAGGATCCATTCTCCATCGCAGCCAAATCTAAAACAAACAGCCAAACTGAGCTGCGTTCAGATGAGTCGAGTCGAGTCGAGTCGAGTTGAGCCGAGTTGAACTGAGCTCTTTCAAGGCGAAACATTGACAACATCCCACTAGGTGGGATTTTGCCCCGGGGCGACATTTTGCAGCTACTTTTGCTCCCGCATCCTTTCTATGCCCGCTGCCATATCCTTTGGCTATGGCCAAAAAAACAAGCAAAGGACTAGCTACGTCTAGAAGACGTGCATTTGCTCAAGTGGAAATGAATTGAACTCGGGCAGCAGCAAAAGCAAAAGAAAAAGCAGCAGAATGCAATCTCATTCTCTTGTCAACTTAACCTCGACTGCCAGAATGGCATCGAGTCGTCGATGACGCCCGGCTGTGCCATTTGTTGTTCATGCCATTGTCGTCAGAGGAGGCAGCCATTTGGAGACGGAAAAGCACAGTGGGTCTCAAATAAATGCGATAGAGAAAGGAAATTACCTCTATTATTGCTCAGAGGTAATCTTATAACGTATAACTCTGGAAAAGACTCGGTTAAAAGCTTTTAATGGCTCTTTGTTCTTGGGGCAATCATCAAAACATGGTCATAACAATATCAATTTTCAGCAGAGAAAAACAAGAAAACGTACATTTTTAATTGTCTTTAAATATCTATCTATATATTTATAACTGACTAGAGGATTGCAATATTAGGACTTATAGATTATATTGTTTTAAAACGCTGTTTATTATCTTTGTCTAAGTAGTGAATATTTCAATTAAAACTGAGCTGAAATTAGTAACCAAATGATAACACTTTTAAGAAAATAGAACACACTTTCACTCTATTGTTCTTTATCTTTCAAAATTTTTCCCTACACTTATTTTAAATAAATTGTGCTTGACCACATTTGGCGTATTTTTTTTCTCTGTGCAAAGAATTGAATTGTTCTGAAAGATGGTCATAAGATTTCTCAGCTCAATGGAATTTTATCTGCTTTGATATATCTCTGTGCGAGTCCACTGTGTGGACTATTGTTTGTGCGTTTGTCTTGCCTTTACTGCTGCTCGATTTTTTCTTTAAACAATGGCCCGAGCATTTTTGATTGTCAAATGTTTGCAGAGATAACATTTACTATAGCGGATTTGCAGTGGAGCGTAGGAGATGGCATTCCGACGACAGCACGGCAAAATGGAGCGAGTGCTGTAAGCGTTGCTAAGTTGCCCCTCTTTCTCACATCTATACATATAAATATATATATATACGCTTATGCCGGGGTGATAGCATCAATTTGTAATGATCTTATAAGTGCTTGTATTGTGCCCTTGTCTGCTGCCATTCTTCCTTCCTTTCTTCCTGTGTGCGGTTTATAAACAAATGTCTCGGAAAAGTTTCCGCCAGTCAATTAAACGGCAATTAGAGAGACTCCATTGTGTCAGCATCCAAGTTTTGGGATTTCGGGAGTTAGGGAGCTCAGGAGTCGGGGGTGTGTCAAGTTCACACTGCTCCGCATTTCAATTAAAATCCAATTTCCCAGCGGAAGTGCTTAATTATCGGGTATTAGCCAAGAGCTTCACTCAGTCAAGGACTCTTGACACCCGATTCTGAAGGCTGACAAACAATTTCCTGAAAGTTGATCAATAGCTGCTGGCGGCATTAATTGAATGCTCTTTGGATTTGGATATTGGGTAATTTCTGATATAGAGGGTTGGCATATTGTCTGTCGTATACTTTTATCCAGTCTCTGGTTACACGTGCACGTGTCGGTAATACTGCTCTGAATTTTACGCTAATTGAAATTGCAATCGAATTACGATGCGACTGAGTCTGCGGTAGAAGGCATAACGTCCAATGAAAATATAATCACATTTATGCAGTTTTTATGCCAGCAATGTAAATATTTTCGTTGTAAACATGTGAATGGTGAATGGACGAGTGCTCATGCCGGGAATTACGAGTATGACTGGCCGTCAACGACAGCCGCCGGTCATGGCTGAATAACCATAACGTCATATACAGAAGGATACAGATACAGATACAGATCGAGATACAGATACAGATACGGATACAACTGGACCGAGTGTCTGCGTCAGTCTGCTGTGGTCCTGGCGCAAAGTCCTTTTGCTGGCCAGCCTGCATTCGCTTCCATTTCGAGTTCATTGAATTTGCGCTGATTTCTTCTTTTTTTTTTTTTTTCTTTCTGGACCGTTTTCATGCCCCTGTGGATAGTGCATTAATGAGAGCAATAAGAGCAAATTGTAGCGTGAAATTTATGAAATCAAAATCCCACTTACATACACGACAGGATGTGCATAAATGTATTTTTGATATAATTGCATTTGCTGCTCCAGTGCCTCGCTGTCCGTTGATTGCGTAATTTAATAGTTTTACCGTGGCTGAATAATTGGTTTTAGGTAATATTGACATGTGGACTTCAGCTGTTGCATTATTAATGCGAATTGAAGAGCCAGCGTTTCCGCTTTTCGGCGGAAACCCGCTTGAAATTCCCGTCACATATACTACTTCTATGATAAATGATATGGCCCAGCAGATGTGAGCCTGTGCTTTGTGCGTTGATGTCACGTCCTGATCATTAATTATATGAACTTGTTTTTGCTCTTGTCTCTATTTGCAGTTCACCGAGCAGGCGGATAAAGGTAAACAAACACAAAAACCCTTCGTATTTACGACCCAGGCGTGTCGAATTTGACAAGCGTAGCGTATCGGCGGCCCAGACAACCATAATCTCACCCAGGCTTGGGTCATGATTAGTCCAGGAGGAGAAGGGACCACCTGACCATCTGATCCCTGACCTGCTGCCCTGCAGACCGCACGTAAGCCAGTGGCAAAGTAAAACTTTTAACGAAAACTGACAACCGCAATGACCAAAGTGTCATAAATCCATAAATCCATAACCGAGCGTCAACAACATCAACAAACAGTTTGTTGTACGACCTACGACATGTGACGGCGCTCAGGATTTCACACAGAGAAAAGTCAGCAGCGATATCAGGTTGATTTATCTTATCAGTTTGGCTTTTACCTTAAAATACTTGTAATCTTATCAGTCTGATCAATATCAAGAGTTAATATAAATAACAATTATTTCTTTGTTCTGCCAAAATCGCTGGAGATTAAATTATTAGGCAAGTGGAGTATTTGCATATGGGAATATGCTATAAATATTGATAATTGTATAATGTGTGTAAGTGGCGGATAGATTTTCAATACCTGTTATATAAAATGCATCAGTAAAGTCATGGAATTACAGAAGATTGAAAGTGCTGTCTAGTTGAAAAGTATGCAATAAAAACATTTATGTTTAAAGCATCATTTAGAGGGATTTTAATAATTTTGTATGTTGCTTTTGGTTTGTGGGCGTAAATGTGTGCATAAAAATAAATTTATTTGAAAAAAAATACTATTGTTTAGGAGTTATAACATATGGGAGACACGATATTTTCCCTGTTTCCATGTTTTAGGACTCTTTAGAGATAATGACTAAAATGACTGCATTTATGAACATTTTGGATGATATTTTTCACTGTGCAGACTCCAGGCCCTCGGGGGAGTGTCAGCTTGGCGGCCAATGAACTAAATAACCCTCAATCCTTCAATCGGGGAGCGGATGAGGGAGGTCGCTAGACAGGCGGTACACGACATGGTAGCGGGCCAAAAAGCTCTCATGTCAACCGCAGTCGGCGGACTGGCAGACAAACATATTGGCGGCGATGGATTCGATGGTTCCCTGCCACTCGAATCTCGTCCCGCGTCTGCCAGATAAAATGAAGTATCACTAGCTAGTAGTCGATGTGTTTGTGTGTGCTTGGATGTTTGAAGCGGGGTCATGTGTGTGGAAAAACAAAACACTTTTCAGCAGGACCACAACAACAGCAACAACAACTTACATGGGGGCGGAACAATATTGTTTGTGTCGAAGTTTATCGATAAGTTGTCGTCGTCGTAGCTCCCTGAAAATCGCATCAGCAAAAAAAAAAAAAATAAAACACGCACGGTGGCGCATAAATTAAATTTCCCGTCGCCGTCGACGCGTGGCCATAAAAAATCATAAAAATATATTAAATTTATACGTAGTGCTTACACATAAGATCGCTATGAATTCATAAATTCTCGCCGAGCAGCCGCCGCCATTCGCATCCCCATCCTCGTCCGCATTCGCATCCGCATTCCCAGCCACAAGCAAAACCGTGGCCACAACCACAGCATAACAACGGCATTGACAGTTAAATGAATGACTATGGGGGCAATGCCGTAGTCGAAGCCGATTCTATAGCCGGAACTGAGGAGAGTCCTCCTTGAGCTCTTCAGTTCTTGCTGCGGTGTCTGTGCACTCAAAAAAAAAAAAAAAATAAATAAATAAACAAATGTTGGATTTAAATTATTTGGTACACAAATTACTACATTTTAAGAAGGAGGAATCCGTAGCTTTAATTTTAAATAAATAAAATAGCTTTAAACTTGTGTTAAAACGAACAATCACCTAATCGTACATATTCAAAGTAAACAGATTTCCGCTTATTACACCACAAAAAATTTAATTTTCCCTTATTTTTTTAATTAACTAAGAAACCAAAATTACTACTAATAAGAACAGTTTTTTTTTATTTAATAGGACTTTGTATTTAATCCTGTATCACAAATTCGTCATTAAATTTATTCTTTACTTACTTCTATTTACTAAAAAAGCAACGTTGATACGTCGAGTTTAACAAACATTGATAAGACATTTTTAACTATTAAGCTTGTTTTTTGTCTGTCCAAAAAGTGTTAATTGATATTTAAACGGTGTATAATGGTTTAGACTTTGTGGCTTCAGTTGCTAGTTCTAGACACAAGAAAAAAGTCATGTTTTTTTTCAGAGTGCGGCTGTGGATGTTGGTCCGCCTGTGGCTCGTGCTTCTCCATCTTGTTTTGCTACGTTTTGTTTGCTTGGGTATAATTTATGCAAATCTGTTAAAGTTTTGCCGTCATCGGGAAAGTTGCCGCTGTCAGTGGCGCTGCTGCATAGTTTTATGCTCCTCCACAATTGTAGGGGGACCAAAGTGTATATTCAATTTGCGTTTGCCTCGTACGAGAGACTCTGGGAATTGAATTGAACACATCAAATCTGGTATTCTGATTTCGGTTTCTTGTTGTTTTGCCATGTGGTTCAGAGCAGAGAAATGGAAAACTAACCAGAGTTCGTTCAACATAAAATGTTAAAGTTTATCATTTGCATTTCATATACTATTATTTGCATGAAATGAAATGCGTTTTGGTTTCTAGCTTTGGGATTAGTTTTCAAACTTATCTCAAAATAAATTTGAATAATAATTATAGCTTTATTTTATGGTTGAAATTAATAAAGATTAGTTTATAATTAACAAAAAAACAATGGGTATCAGAGGAGTCCTGTTAGTAACTTTTTGAGCCTCCTTTTCAGGACTTTTTGTTGCCGTCATTAATGTAATAAATAAAATGGGATTCCAGGGTCCGCGAACCCATGCATATATAAGTGCGTACAATAGTTTTACCGTTATATCCCTGTTGTTGTTGTTGTTGTTGTTGTTGTTGTTGACGTTGACATCGGAGCAGTTCCGTCGACTTCGAGAAGGGTCCACGAAGGTCCAAGGGCAGTTTTTAATGTTCTTATGCTGCTGGCAGTTGCTTGAGCTTTGCCGCAGTCTCGCAGAATAGCTTCATATTTATGCAAAGTTATGCGGCTTAACAGATAAGTCGGCAAAGTTTTTGCCCCAGCGACGAAGGGCCTAGATAAGGCGCGGTCAGGATATTAGAGCGGAAAGCAATCGAAGGCAAGTCCGAAAGAGAAACTTGGGCTTGATTTGCATGAAGAACAGATTGTGGTGTCCATGATCCATGCTATATCCAACTATATATCCAACTGGATGGATGGGCCTGGGCCTCGCCTTGCCTAGTTATTTATGTGCGGCCCAGGGTCCTTCCTTCACTGCACTTTTAATTTCACATGACAAACTGTTCCATCCTCTGCCATTCTTCTGACAAAATGTGGGACAAACTTTGGCTCTACTCGCTCTCTGGTCTCTGGCAAACTTGTTCCACGTTGCGTATACGCAACAAAGGAGAAGCTGCCGCAGGCCCGCAGAACTCCCTGAATACTAAGTAAAAGGGCTCTTCTCTCGCCCGCCCAACAAGACCATCTGCCACTCTAGCTAATTCCAAATTATATTAAAAACTTTCGGCTGTGTGTTTCCTTTGCCTTGCTTTTTCATTATCTAGCGGCCAACAAAGAAGAGCCTGGCAGAAAGGATGAATATGAAAAATGGCTAACAAACTACGAGTACCAGGAATAAACTCTATTCCGAAAACGCGACCCCGTTAAAGTCCAACGCTGTTTGCATTGTCCGCTTGTTGCTCCCCCCGAAAAGTGGGAGATGAGCTGAATTACCCTTTAGCCTGGTCCCCATTTTGGGGTCAAAGGCGTTTTGTAATTCGACACTGGGCCACCAGTAATCTTCGGCATTAGTTGCACTGAACTTCATTTGCCCACTGGCAAGTAAGTTGCTAAGGGAAACTGCCACGTCCAAGCGACGCTCATTTATACTGACCACAGTCTTCAAACAAGGTTAAGGAATGGTTACATTGAGAAAAATATTAACAATATTGAATGAAATACAATAAAAATAATATGTGCATGGCATGGAAAAATATAGTGATTAAATATGAAAATAGGCATGCTTAATCAATGGTTTCTTTGTTCTTTTAAAATAATAATTTCATTTTTGGGACATCAAGTCAAAAAATATTTTAAGCACATTGAAAACATTTGTATAAGACCAAAATTACCGTGACATTTATATGATTTCAATAAGTTTTTTAGTACAAAAATATCTAAATTTCTATAAGGACTTTATGTCTGTTTTTCTCTGTGCATGTAAACAACGACAAGCAAAACCCAGGACTACGTGCCTTTCTCACATTGATTTTCCACCCATTTTCCTCGCCGCTCTTGTGATTTTCCTACCTGTCCTCCTCGCTCCGCTCTTCCTCCGGCTGGCAGCACTTGACTGACCTCTTAAATTCGTTTAATGTTTAGTTAGGTCGAGCTTAGGCCCGTGCCCCGGCTGACAGGTCACGCTGACCTGGCGGCTCCCAAATTAATGGCCGGGCTGAAGTGCTCTAAATTTTCCATTTTTTTTACCTGGCGCACATTTTCCTTAATGAGTTTTGGCCCTGCAGTTTTGTATTAAGTGTTCTCGAAATGTAATTATGCGATTTCTGGGGGCCCTACTCGACTGTATGGCAGTCATCTTTATAGACATTTATTTAATAAACTCGCATCCGTGCAATGCCCCTCTCGCTGGTGCCATGAAAAATGCAATTAAATACTTTCGGCTATTAAAATAAAAACTTTCCCCCGGCCCAAAAGTAAGGGTTGTTTCGGGTGGTATAAGGGTGTGGGGGTGGATGTGCATTCCGCTCTGTTGCTGCAGTGGTCGGCCTGGTGTGACCTAATAAAAAAATTATGCCAAACGAAAGTGAACGCCCAATGGCAGCAGCGAGTGCAAGGGAATGGGCGCGGGTTGACCCTGTGAAAATTTTACAACCGCCAGGGGGACAGGAGTCGGGGAAAAGGGAATGTACGTACTGTGGAATGGTGGCAGCCATTGGCCGATAT